AGTCAACTCTCCCAGGATCAGTAAACAGTCCTCCATAAAATGTGCTGCACACATCTGGATATTTGGGTTAAACTGTTCTGGAATAGTCTTGTAAATACAACTTAACCACTGCGGCGTGTTAGAATGAGCCGTTTTAGGTAGGCATGGTTAACTCTTAACTTTTATAAAGAATATTTCTTTGGATTTTAGACTTTAGTCTTTGCAACTTTACAGATCTTCTTTATGCACCAAGAGCTTGTAACACTCCAAAGAGAAAGGAAAAATTGAAATCACATCATATGTGTGATGATAAAGATATTTATAATGTTACAAAAGATTTATATTTCAGATAAATGCTGTTCTTCTGAACTTTCTATTTATCAAAGAAACCTGAAAACAATTTTACGCTCTTTTTAACATAATAAATGTTTTTTTAACAGCAAATCAGAATATTAGAATGATTTCTGAAGGATCATGTGACTGGAGTAATTATGCTAAAAATTGAGCTTTGAAATCACAGGAATAAACTACATTTTAAAATATTGTCAAACAAAAAACATTTATTTTAAATAGTAAAAATATTTCAAAATGTTATTGTTTTTGCTGTATTTTGGATCAAATAAATGCAGACTTGGTGAGCAGAAGAGAATTCTTTAAAAAACATAAAAAATCTTACTGTTCAAAAACTTTTGACTGGTATGTTAGCCTATAGTTTGAAGTTAAAGATATTAGTAATTAATAAGGTGAGTCTGAGATGTTTATTTGACAGTGATTTCACATTTCTTGTTTGTATAAAGGCTAAATAAAAATAAAAGGTGACCATTAATTTATTTGTGCCGTTTTTGTTTTCTAACAATATTTTTTTTTTTATAGTTTTATAGGAAGAGGTTTCATAGACTTTGCAAATTAATTTTTCATAAGTTTGTAGGTACAGACATCTGTTGTGGGTGTTCTTGGCAGTTTTTATGAGGCTTTTTTTAATTGTGTTCATATTGATATCGGAATTATATCGTATCGACCGAAATTAAGAAATATATCGTGATATAAATTTTGGCCATATCGTCCAGCCCTAGGACCACCCAAGAGGCCATATGACTGACAGGTAAAGCAACCAATCACGTTTTGTTTTGTGCAGCATCAAATTTAGAGCCGTGGAAATATCCCCACAATAACAGACCAGTGTGTAAAACTCTTGGATGTATTTTAAAGAGTGTATTCAGCAAATTTTCATATTTCACATACTTTTGAAAATCCAGCATTTATTTGATCCCGATAAGCACTCATTGTCACAGTCGTAAACACAACGGCTTTCTTCTAACATGAGGGGGTTTGGCGTCACAGCATTTTTGTTTCCAGGCGAAATGTTAAAGAACAGGTCTCCCGGGAAATCCTGTAGAATTAAACCAATCCGATGACGACTTCGAAACTCCTGAAGTAGGGCTGCACGATCAATCGAAATGGAATCGAGATCGCGATTCGACAGAAGCTTCGATTGTCATGCGTATTGTATTGCTTTTTATGTATTACAAAATCAAGACTTCACATTGGTTTTCTTAGTAGCATGAAGAACAAAACTATTATTAAAAATGGGAATAAATGATATACAGGAAGCGAGCAAAAGAACATTCCCCATCACTGAAGCAGTCCATGACTTCAGTCTAGCTAGCACAAGGTCACTGAGTTATGTACTCCATTATAATCACTGAAGCGGTCTACAATGGGAAATTAATCCCTTGTTTACACTGTATCTACATTTTGTTGTTTATGAGGAGAGAATCAGTGAGTGCACACAATTCAGTCACTGAGCGTGTGCACTGAAAAAACTCTTAAATTGGCCACTGCATTTATACACTCAAACGAATGTGAGATTCTTTTCTCAACACTGCAAAAAAAAAAAAAGGTTAATGTGAGCAGATCTAAATGAAATGCTGCAAATTCATTTTCACATTTCACTTTAATTGCAACCGTCGTAACAGATGTAGTTCACTTGTGCAGGGGCCTCCTTATCTTGATTTGGGGGGTATTTCTGTTCATTTTGGTGGCAATTGTCCAACTCAGTCTCAGAAAACCTTTTCAAATGGATGCATTGGACCATCCAAGCAAACACAATTCTGATTTATTGACTGTACCCTCACTAAACACTCTAGTTGGAGCTTCATCACGGAGACAAAAACAGTACAGCAAAATATTCATAATATTTCAAATTAACTGACATCCATGATAAATAAAACACACTAACCTTCCTGTAGCATTTCAGGGACATCAGCCTGAAAGCGTGGACCAACACGAATCTCCCCCTTGTCAGCCAATAGTGTCTTCTGTGTGGGGTCGTACACCAATGAGTAAAAAAATGTGTCCTGAGAAAGAAAGAAAGAAAGAAAGAAAGAGCGAAAGCAGCGGATAAAAAAATACTTAAATTAGACATCTATTCAACGTAAGATACAAAACAGCATTTAAAGAAAGAACTTGTGTACCTCTTTATCCAGGTAGGAGAGCACAGCTTCGGTCTCGTTCAGGAGGGCCACACTGCACTTACCCCTATTTCCACCACCCCAAAGAAAAAAAGATAATAAATGATTAAACACGCAGCGCCATGTGTTATGTTCTGCATCAAGCTGTCTCCACAGATCCTCTAATCCACAGCACAGTAAAACAGAGGAGGAAGGGGAGGCACTAGGTGCAAGATTACAGAAGAATATGTGAGTGTGTGATGGTGACATGAGCAAAGATGAAAAGGTGAGAAAAGAGCAGATGGGTGAGAAGACTATAATAAAATTCAGGAAATTAAAGGAGAAAGGGCACAGAGAGGAAACAGATAAGAGACAGACACAGACAATGAGAAAGCTCTGAACAAAAACATTATGGAGCTATTGGAGAGTGGAAAACTGATGCTAATCACTCTGTGCTCCTCCGAATGAGCGTTTAACCATGAACACTGCCACATCTATATACAACCTGCAATGTAAGGAAAGCTACTTTTGAAACTGGAGCTTCCCAAGCTACAAGAAATTAATTTATAGGGACAGTCGCAGCAAACAGCATGAACAACTGTGCGAAAGAAAACAGACTAGCTTTATTACACTTTTGTTTGAGCAGAATATCTCAGTAGAAATCACTGAAATCCAATTCACATGTTTACCGGTGAATTGGAGTTCAGTGATTTCTACTGAAATATATTCTGCTCAAACAAAAGTGTAATAAAGCTAGGGCTGGACAATAATTCAATATCAATATGTATCGCGATATAATTTTTTTCAATAACGGTGATATGATTTTTAAACACATTTCCGATATTTCGATATACATTATCAGTGTTTCCCATACATTGATTTATTTGTGGCGTTTGACTTCGTTGAATAAACATGAGCACTGCACGTTTCAAAATCAAAACGCGTCGCGGGTGTTTTATATGAGTGCATCTCTGAAGGGAACCGACTGTCTTCAGAATAGTTATGACATTTTTATCTGATAAAGCAGCTTTCATGAGCGGAGCTGCTTTGTTTACAGCCATTACTGGAGAAACCGTTAGTTCCACCGCTCTCACAGCGCCTCCTGCTGGCAGACAAGCAGTTTGCATTTTCAATAATAAACCCATTTCCAGCACCATGCTTTTGTGTGTTACTGTTTATGTTACTGTTTTTGCTGTATTTTGGATCAAATAAATGCAGGCTTGGTGAGCAGAAGAAAATTCTTTAAAAACATAAAAAAATCTTACTGTTCAAAAACTTTTGACTGGTATGTTAGCCTATAGTTTGAAGTAAAAAATATTAATATTAATATTAATAAGGAGAGTCTGAGATTTATTTGACAGTGATTTCACATTTCTTGTTTGTATGAAGGCTAAATACCAATAAAAGGTGAACATTTATTTATTTTTCCTAAAATATTATATAGTTTTATAGGAGTAGGTTTCATAGAGTTGGCAAATTAATTTTTCATAAGTTTGTAGGTACAGACATCAGTTGTGGCCGTTCTTGGCTGTTTTTATGAGGCTTTTTTATTATGGTTCATATCGTATCGGAATTATATCGTATCGACCGAAATTAAGAAATATATCGTGATATAAATTTTGGCCATATCGTCCAGCCCTAAATAAAGCTAGTCTGTTTTATGTTAGGGCTGCACGATTAATCGAATGTGATTGTCATGCGCATCTTGTCAGTAAAGCCGGTTCTGTGATTAGTAGTAAATCTCCAGCATGTGCTTTCAGATGGAGCGGCATTTACTACATGGAGCAGTAGTTCACTGACAAGCTACGCAAAATTGCAGATGATTTAATCATGCATTTATGAAATCGAAAAAATCATTCTGCGATTATGAAAGCTGTTTGCATAGCTTGTCAGTGAACTACGGCAATGTGTATTAAATGCTGCTTCATCTGAAAGCACGTGAAAATACCACATTTAATAACATTTAATTTTTACTCCAAATTATCTTCATAACATCAGTCGAGTGTTTGAAATAAATCCTTCTGTGAGATGATGTGGCTTCTTACACAGAATAAGGCACGCAACATATTTCATAGTATTCTAAGCAGCGATAAAGGCTATGTCAATTAGCATTGCATAATTATATACTTTATTATAATAAAAATTATAATAAGACGAACTCAGATAAATCATATATTGTCGTAGTCGTGTGTTTATTAGTCACGCTGAATTAATCAAAGCAGTTAAATCTTCTGTTTATTCAGCAACTTATAGGGATTTCCTGGGTTTCTTCTGTGAGGCGTATTTGGAGTTTCAGCACGAGAGCGCCCTCTGGCCTTCGGATGGAGATTTACTGTTGATCACAGAACCGTGCTTCCCTGAATGATACGCATGACAATCGCAGCTTCTGCCTAATCGCGATTTATCGCCTTTGTGATTTAATTTCGATTAATTGTGCAGCCCTAACTGATGTTTTCAGCTCATCAGCACTTTTTCCATAATTTAGAGAGAGAGAGAGTGTGTGCACGTGATTGCTGGGTTGGGAAGCTTAAGTAAACCACTGGACAGAAAATTTATCGATTTATGAAAAATTGGGGTTTTGATTTGGGGATTTAAACTCTTGACATCTGGCAACCGCAACCACAAAAGCATGTGGAGGCTTGTTACCAATGCAAGATAACGCAAATGTAAATTAAACATTTACAGGATAAATAGTCAGTGGGCAAATATCGGAGATGATTATGTTTAGTTAATTGAGAGAAGCAGAAATCGTGATCACGATTAAAATACGATTCATTGTGCAGTGTTTTATTGTCCATACAACTGAAGTCAATGGTATCCAGTGGTTTTGTGTTCCACAAAAGAAAGTAAGTTTTAAGTAAAATATAATAGCCACACTACCAGATAATATAATGTAGCTAACTGCACTGAATGGCAATCATTTATTAAATTATAATTTAGTTATATTAACAATCTTAATAAATGTGTCCTACATTAAACCTAAAGATGAACAACATTAAACAGACATCATATTTTTTTGGTTTATTTATTTAGAAGGTACCAATACACTGCCACTTTTAGGACAAAGTAGCTTATCACAGAAGAGGTTACTGTATTTTTAAAACAACTGAACTACTTAAAACACTTAAAAAAACATTAAAATATCCCCAGGACTCCCTCATTTGTGATTGAGTGGAAAATAACATATAGTCCTGCTTAGGAGACAATATTTTAACATAAAAAATTACCATTGGCAAATATCATATCAGTAACTCAAATTCAGCTGGTGCATAATTCACAATTGAGACTGACTCTTATGTATGCCGAATTTAAGTTCACACATGAATTTATCTTCTATATTGGGTGACAAAGCTAACAAAATGAATCAAATTGAACTCAGTCTTGACATGTGTTCAGTTCCACATAAAATACATTTTCCCCTGTAAAGGCCAGCTAGCCCCCTGCAATGACTGCTCAATATTTATGGATCACAGAAGCCAAAAGAAAAAATTAAACAAAGAAAGAAGAAAGGGAGTGACATTTCCTTTATTTGGAGGCCGATATCAATTTCAGTGTGCACAGCAGGCCTCTCCAAACCTCGGCACCACCACTAATGTTTCTCATAGGAGGCTTTCCTTTGATTAAAACCACTGCCACCCAGCTCCAGGCTGCTAATGCATTTATCACCTGAATCACAGCGGGTGCTACAAAAGCCCTGGGGTGCCACTGGCCAGCTAAAGAATGGATGCGGAACTGAATCCCAGCCTGGTGTGGGCTGGGGTTGTGTTGTGCTATATGGGTGCTGTTATCTTACCTTAACTGCCCCCTGAAAATGTGAACTGAGGATTAAATGGCACGTTTTGGTCTATCAGATATTAAGAAGCAATTGGATGTGTGGGTGGGTTTACCTGATGTGTGTGGCGGGGAGGGATTCGTACTGGCGGGAAAGGAAAAGCTCCCTGTGGCGGAGTTGATGTTTCTGTTTTTCAGTGAGTTCAGGCTCTGAGGGGGTTTCCTTCTCTTCTTCCAGGTCCTCTGTACACAGGGAATTAATAATTTGTCAAAGACATGGCAACACATACAGCATATAAATAAGAAAAACACATATTTACTTTACAGACCATTTGCATTAGAGGCCACATTAAAAGAGGAGAGCAACCAAATCAGTCGAATGCAAATACTTTTTGCATACACAAAGCATATGTTAAAGAAGACTACTTATTGTCATTTGGTGTTTACTGTGCTGTGTTGTGACCAACATAAATGATTAAAGTGTAATTTAGTGCAAACTGTAGACTTTGGAGTACCATGACTTTTTGATTTTCATAATCCGTATTATATAAATAAAACCTGAGAAAATTAATAATAAAATCAATGATGAATAATATCATAATAATAAAATACTGTGGAAAAAAATCCAACAAAATAACATACTTAGTAATAAAAACAGTAGCACCTGACATCTTTGACAGCACAGGTCAGTTGTATATGGTTAGCTATAAGCTACACTCTTCAACAATACACTTTCATAACTAACTGTTTTCAACATTGACAATAATTTAAAAAAAAATTTGAGCAGCAAATTAGCATGTTAGAATGATTTCTGAAGGATCATGTGATACCGAAGACTGAAGTAATGGCTGCTGAATATTTAGCTTTGCATCAGAGGAATTAATTACATATTTAAATTGTACTAATATTTCACAATATTACTGTTTCAGAGCTAGAACTATCCATTTTATAACAGTAATTGATTTTGATTTGGCACTTGTCTAAAAACAGTGTGAAAAGAGAGGTCACACACTACAGTGTGACCTACACTCACTACAGTAGGTTGACTAGATTGTTTTAGCTTAAAAAAATACATCTCTGCCGTCTAACCAACTAAATGAAACTGCGACAAAAACTGTTCAGGTCGGCTTTGTTTACTTTATTGGAAATGATACAGTATTATGCAAGCATGTGAAGACTACCACATTCTGTGCTACTATTTATCAAGCCTAGTGGTGGTCTTAGACATCAAGCCCACAGATTCATCTCACTTATCCTTTTCCTACAGTCTTTCATTTAGTCAACATCGAAACACTGAGTCAAGCAAAACTGGTCATATATTGTGACTAGGGGTCGACCGATTATCGGCGCTGAAATTAAGCATTTTTATGATTATCGATATCGTCATTTTCAAAACCGATTCGCCGATAAAATAACTTCATTTTGAAACGCGCTATTTGGCTCTGATGCAGCCTGTCAGAACTCCCCACTCTGTGGCCTACAGCAGTCTCCGCCCACCGCCCATCTGATTTGTTGGGAGTCACGAGTCCGACTCATCAATGCGGAATTCACTCTCACTCCGAAATAGTGATGGGAAGTTCGGTTCTTTTCCGCGAACCAGCTCTTTCGGACAGTTCGATTCAATAAACCGGTTGAAAACACCGGTTCACCGGTTCTTTTACGCTCGACGTAATAACGTCATTGGCGATGACGTAATGGCGTCAAGTCTATCGGGGGCTTAACACATTCAAATATAAAGTCAGTAATCATAACATCAGTCAATTAAAACATTTGAGTAAATAAATTACTCCGGGATATTGGTTTATTTCGACTCAGAGGGAGTGTCAACCATGTTAAAAAAAGTGAATAACTTAAGTAATTTGTGGATTAATGCTTACTGGAGACGCGAACCGTTTCAAATGATTCAGTCCGATTTGGTGAACTGGTTCAACCGGTTCACTAAGAAGAACCGGTTAAATCGAACGATTCGTTCGCGAACCGGACATCACTACTCCGAAAGCGCTTGCTAACTGGAGCTGCATCAGTGATCACGCATCAGTTGTCTTTCAAAGGTAAGGCAGCAGCAGACGTTGCTTAAGTTGCATTAAATCACAATCCACTAACATTACACCGAAGCTGCAAAACACCACAATATTATCTATGATTTCCGCGATGTGGAAAACGCGGACGGAATCGCAGAATCCAGTCATTTAAATGGAATTTACTGTATGACGCGGAATGTCACGGAATTTGTCAAAGTGTGGATGAATTAATCAAAAGTAGGTCAGTACACTTAAATAGAGTCGCGATATGGATTAGTATCTGTAAATATTTAGCCGCAAAAATACTATTTAAATATGAATCCTGCATGTTCTGCGTGTCTCTGTGAATGGCACAGACGGCCGGTTTTCTTTTCTACACATACAAAGTGTGCGACGCTCGCGGTGATTTCAGCTTCTGTCGTCTCACTACATGAGGACATAAATACATGAACAACATCTCCAGAACTGCTCTGACTCCCTCTGAGAGTCACTTCATGAGCATTTGACAGTTTCATTGGAGTAAAACTATCTTCATATCATTTACACAGACCTACAGAAACAAGTGCCTCATGGCAACTCGTCAAAATATAAATTCGGGTTAGCTTAAAGAAATTATCAGAAATATATTACTGTGGTGCAGTATGATATACATAATATTACTCAGGGATGAAAGTTTTCCGTCAATTGGAAAAAATGAGGGGAAAAGAAACATGTAGCGCATTGTTGTTGTTCTGTCGGCACACCAAAAATCATCCCCGCCACGGCTGCAGCTTCTTACTGACAACATAACGCCGCTCGCATCATTCAGTCGGGTTATTAGCAGAGAACACAGAGCACAACTTGAATTTCGGCGCGGGATTGCTCTATTAATAATAATTCTACTCATTCATGATATTGATTTAATACAACAGTTCAATAAACAAGTACTGCCTGATTTTGTTCTATGAGCAAATGGAATCTGAAGAGAACTTGTTCAGGAGGCTTTTGTGTGGGAGCACAGATGGGGAAGAGGTGTCAAAAGTGCCTCTTCACGTCTCACTGCCGGCAGAGGCAGATGAGAGGCTCAGGAATGAAGTGATGGCCTTTACTGGTAATAAGAACAAAACACACTTTCAAGGAGAAGGCACATAAAGAGAAATGCGCTGTACTCATGCGGTGAACTGCACACTGACGAACTCTGGACAAAGTAGTGCAGTATTTTTGATAGCAATGAGTACAGACCTGCTGCTCAGTTGATAAAGCATGATGCTTCTCTGGGAATTCATATAATAAAATGTATACCTTGAATGCACTGTAAGTCACTTTGGATAAGCACATCTGCCAGAGGAAAATGCTTTAAACTGACATTTAGCATTTCAGGTGCATCAAAAGACTATGCTTTTCCTTAAAGGGTCATATGGTGCTGCTAAAAATAACATTATTTGGTGTAATGAAATGTTTATGCGGTTTAAGGTTCAAAAAACGCATTATTTTCCACATACTGTATATTATTGTTTCTCCTCTATGCCCGCCTTTCTGAAATGTGTCGATTTTTACAAAGCTCATCGGTCTGAAAAGCAAGGTGTGCTGTGATTGGCCAGCTATACAGTGCGTTATGATTGGCCAAACACCTCAACCATGTGACGGAAATGTTACGCCCCTACCATATTGTGATGATGGCCTGTCAGGCCGGAGCGATGATTCAAAAACATGAAAACCCATTATAAACGAGGCATTCGTTGCATCTAGTGGGGACATAATTATGGATTATTATGACTTATACTGCCACGTAAACATAAAACTGAAATGTCTGCATTTGTGATCGGAGAAATGACAAACAACAAGCCCTACTCTATACTGCCCAAAAAACTCTTAAATATAAAAAATATGAAATATAAAAACTCTTTAAATATAAAAAATTTACTTAGAATCTGTGATTCAGAACAGCCGGCAATTCACAGCGCAAAGTCGTTGTATTTCCTCAGCAACCAGCACGGATCAGCTCCAGGCATGGCGAAGCAGATATCGTCCTCTTTTGGAAGGCCAAACAAAGTAGTTTCGCTTTCACAACGAAGCACACTGCGCCTTCACGACATGGTGGCGGCAACAACAATACTACAGCGAGAATAAAAGTTATGCCTTCTTTCTTTGCGTGAACATTTGGGCAGCGTTATGCAAATCTTCCCACATTGTGACGTAGACATGTGGGGGCGTGTTAGAACGAGCCGTTTTAGGTAGGCGTGGCTGACTCTTAACTTTTATAAAGAATATCTCTTTGGATTTGAGACTTTAGTCTTTGCAACTTTACAGATCTTCTTTATGCACCAAGAGCTTGTAACACTCCAAAGAGAAAGGAAAAATTGAAATCGCATCATATGACCCCTTTAATACTAATTTCACGATTGGTAACTTATTTGTCTTATTCTACTTCTTATTATATTGTTTTAAATAGAAATTTTAAAAAGCTTATAAACATAATTTTTTTAATTTGACAGATGCAAATTATGCCATTACAAAGGTAAAAAGAAAATACCCCTGTAAATCCCTTCACCTCATATTAGGAAGGCAAATTTTTTGTCAGAATTTTTGATTATTGATCAGAAGGTGCTCCTTAATTTTTTTAATTAGGAGGACAAGCGCTCCTGATTACAAGAAGAAAAACACTGCTCTTAAACCGAGTGTGTGACAGGTATGGGTGTGGAATGGGGTTTGGCCCGAGGAAAAATTCTGTGAAAAGATCTTTTTTTTCTCTAACCCGACTACTACAACAATTATTACAACTTTTGTTTAAAAGAATAATCACACAATATGCTATTTCTTCCATGTTTTAATTTTAATGGTAAACCCTTTGTTTGCCAAAAAATAAAGAGTTTAACTCTTTAAAATAAAGAGTTTACTGTGGTAGTACTAAACTCAATCAACACCAGGGAAGGCAGTTTTTGTCAAAGCCCTTGTTATTCTTAATTTTGACATCAAAAAATATTTTTACACCAGACATATATCGGTTCAAAATATCGGTCTACTTGATCTGTAATAATCGGTATCGGCCCTGAAAAACAAATATCGGTCGACCCCTAATTGTGACCAGTTCATCAAGACAAATTTGTTGAGGGCCCCTGAAACATCAGGAAATCAGAAAGCCCTGCTGCCCAATAACGGGCATTTGGTTCTGGTAACTCCAGTGATTACAGCTCTCCTGCTAACTTACACAGGCAATAGAAGACAGACGCATACGCATATACATGAGCAATTTCAAATGACTTATCATTATCATGCTAATGACCACTCATGCATGCCACGTCACAAACCGCCCTTGGTTTCCTTGACGATAACATTCACATTGCCTTGGAAAACTCTCGTGTTCACTCACTTGCGTGTTTGTCAGCCAGCTGGATGAGGCTCTGTGAGATGTCCCTTCTCCTGTAGAAACAGACCACCTTTGCCTCCACATTGCCACTTGCAGTCTGAAAGGAGCGACAAATAAGGTCACCTTGAGGAAACTTCATACAGTATCTGGGGACCGTGAACCTAACACCTCTGTTAATCAATACTGAAAAAGCTTGAACCTGAGGTTGCAGTCTATTATGTTTAATCAGCAGTGCAGTGTTGAATTTATCAACACCTGCTGTGTCTGCACTCCTCTGAGGAGTAATCGGGGAAAAAACGACAACAGCAGACAAGGTTAAAAGGAGCATGAGACAATTTACACCGGATAAATACAAGATTTAATTTGGTACCGAGTAGTTCAACAAGATAATCATAGATTATATTACAAAATATTTATGGCTGTCAATCAATTAAAAATTCTAATACAATCAGTTACAATATAATAGGACTGGGCAATATGACAATATGTATTGCGGCAATTAGAGGTGTACGATATTGACAAAAAAATAATATCTCGATATTTTCTGGGTTTTTATCGATAACGATAATTAGACAATATTTTGCTGAGTGTGTTATTGTGCTGGTCCCTTAAAGACTGCCGTGGACAGCTGACTCCTAAAGTTTTTGATATTCTTCATATTCTGTGTGGTGGTCAGTTCACACTGATAAAAAGTCATCTTTTCCAACAAGTTTAAACTGATTTTTACATTTTATGGGCATTTGTACCTTTATAAAGCCATTTTCTCTAAAAGGGTCCGTTATCTTTTGAGTCAAATTCTTACATTTAATTAGTGAATAAGAATAATAAGACATTTGGGCTGTTACCAAGCAAATGAAATCAACACAGAAGCTGCATTTAGATGAATTTACACACTGTTTAATGCAAGACATGAATGCATTTAACCTGAAATTACAAATGCATAAATAATGTTTTGATATATTAAACATAAAACGTTGAATACTGATATTTGAACTTAAATAATAAAAAGCAACTTTAAATGTGATATAAAACCACCAGGTGGCAGCAAGTCATTGTTATTAAGTGGGTCATTGCGATTGAACCGAATCATTTAAATGTTGATTCATTTGGGAACGAAACACCGTCATGTTGCTCAGAGGCAAAACAGTGCGGTGGCTTTGTTTGGAATTATTTTGTTGTCGAAATAGTGCAAAAACAGGCAATACGGTGTCGAAAATGTAAGTATCTTAGTCTTAATTAACTTCTTGTTTATTGAACTGTTGTTAAAAAAAAAATAAAAAATCAATATCTCATTTGTAATCATGGTAATTCTTGGAGAAAAACGGCACCCTTCGTGTGAAATTAACTATATGAAGTGTTAAAAATTTATACATTTTCTGCCCCTATGTCTTGAATTTTAGATCATTCTAAATGCATTTTATTAGACTGAATCATGCAGTGAAAGAACGCACTCTAAATGCGCACTAGTCTAGACTTCACCAAAGAGGGACTTTGACGTCACGTAATGTATGCGTGTGCTCTGTTTTGAATGTTTTTTGCAAAGTACTCAATGTCAAATCGCACATCGTTAAAACAACAATTACGATATTATTGCAGACGATATATATCGCACACCCCTAGTGGTAATGATAGAAAATTGATTGGCTACGTTGTGTATCGCAGTATGTAAAATATCCGCACAGCAAAGGACTGGTTAAAAGTTTATGACACATTACAGCAATAAAGAAACATGCATGAAAGAGAAAAAGTGCAGGATGTGTTTAAAGTTAAAAACGGCAAAAAAGAACCCAACTGCCCTTAACTGAATAACTTAAGTAGTTTTAATAAGAATAGATGCATATTTAATTCATATAGTGAAGACTAAGAGGTGTTTTACGTTTTACATATTATTAAATTTCTTAAAGCTGCAGTCCGTAAGTTTTGCCTCTTTGTCGCCATCTCTGTTTGAAAACCTGGAATTGCAGCTGTGTACGGAATTATCTAGCTTGCGTGGATTGTGCAGCGGCACGGCTCCAGCTCGGATGAATCTAATGTTTTGAGGAGTATGTGTGGATATTTACTGTACTTCAAAATCACAGATTCTAGCCTACGTCTTGGAATATGACCCAAATAAGAATTTTCACCGTATATGAACAAGTAACAAGTCTGCCACGTTTGTTCTGACCAACTGAGGAAAAAAGCATTACCATAAATCTTGCTACCAATGGTGATTAAATCTAAAGACCGGTTGGCTCATATCACATCAAACCATTCAAATTATTATTATTGTTATACTTTATTCTCAAATGATTAATGTTAACAACATCAGCACTGTTGACTATGAGTATAGTGTGTATTAGCATATAGATCTCAGTTTCTGCACAGTCTAATCTAATTGTCATACTCTTCGAATTTTCATATTAAAGAAATATTAACCCAAAAAGCAAATTATCCTCCCTTCGAACTGGTTTTCTTTAAAATACAAATCTTTGTAATCCCAGGCTATCTGTAATCAGAAGCACATTTATAACTGGAATATAATTTCATTTCATTCACATGTGTTTCATAAACACATAATCCTTTATGGATTATAATCCGCCATCAAAATGATACATTTAATTATTCTGGCTGCTGTGAGAAAAGGCTATAAA